ATAGTTTGGCCGCTAGATGTCTTTCGTATGAATTATCTACGGGGTGAGTAAAAAAACGTGATTAGCGGCGTCTGGTGTAAAGTTGTACCTTTTTTGTGCAACTCTCCTGTATGTTTTTTTTTTTTAATATTTTTCGGATATTTTATGTTTTTTTTGGTACTGCTATGGCCCAAAAAAAATCCGCAAACCTTTTTTTCTCTCAAAATCAAAAGTTCAGAAAAGCTAAAAATGTGTATATATATTATTTCTATCAATTTCTAAAATTTTATAAATATTGAATCACAGAAAACTCGCAAAATTGTAATAAGAAAATTCGCAAATTTCAGTTCTGGCCTAATTTTCAAGGAAAAGTTGTTTTCAATGGATCGTCTGGTTTCAACTGAACAGCATATATTTTTGACTTTAGAATAAACTAAGAAGAAAGGAACTGTATGAGGATTTAAAGTACCTTTACTAAAAAATTTGACCAGAACTGAAAATTGCAAATTTTCTTATTACAATTTTTTTTAAATTTTGAAAAAATTGTATAGAAATAATATATAGACATTTTTGGTTTTCTGAACTTAATTTGATTTTGAGAGAAAAAAGGTTCACGGATTTTTTTTGTAACATAGGAGTACAAAAAAAAACTAAAAAATTTCCAAAAATTTTTGAAAAAACAACATACAGAAGATTTGCACAAAAAAGTACAACTTTACACCAGGCGCCGCTAATCACACTTTTTTTTGACTCACCCTGTATCTATCAGAAAAGAATTTTGCTTGAGACATCTAGCGGCCAAACTATCGTCCCCATAAAGGACCTGAACTTCACGACGTCTGTTTAAACATTATGATGGAGAAAACGGGCTCAGTGAACTACAGGGTGTCCCACAAAACATGACATTCAATACATAGTTATTTTTAGTAAAACAAATCTTTTGCTATATTCATTATATTTTACTTTGAAATTAATTTTAATATAACATGACTCTCATATATTATATGTATTGATATTTGGTATCAAACAACTTGACAAATAATGAAAAAAGGCATTCTAAACTATTCACCAACTGTCATGTTTCGTGGGACACCCTGTATGCAATATGCATTCCATAAAATAACTGTCGTCTTCTTTCTTAGGAAGGCGACATTTAAGCATTCAAAGTGCATTTGATGTTGTTAGAAATATACTTAATATATTTTTCAGTAGCTTGAACCTCAACTTGTAAAAGACGATGAAAAAATTGTCGCTTAATTCCAATGTTTATTGGGACACCCTGTATTTATGATATAAATATATATATCATATAATATAAAGCTGTATTTATACGATCCATAAATCAATACAATGAAATAGCTACTTTTGATTGATACCAAGCTTTCAAACAGCATGGATACACAAATAAACAAAGGAAGGCTGTCAATTAACAGCTTCTCTTCTGATTAATTTGTTAGAAATCAAAACGTGAATAGAAACGTCGTCCTTATTGGTTTGATGTTTAAACACCGACCATTAGTATATATCAGTAAAAAGAATTATTTAGCTCTTTAACATTTTATTTTCATAAACAATTTACGTAATCCATCAGTTTGTAATCAGTTTCTATAATGTTTTTGTGAGATATCAGTTCCTTTATCTTTTTTGTGAGTAATCAGTTCCTTTATTCTAGTTGTGAGTAATCAGTTTCTATAGTCTTGTTGTGAGTAATCAGTTCCTTTATTCTTGTTGTGAGTAATCAGTTCCTTTATTTTAGTTGTGAGTAATCAGTTCCTTTATTCTAGTTGTGAGTAATCAGTTCCTTTATCTTAGTTGTGAGTAATCAGATCCTTTATTCTAGTTGTGAGTAATCAGTTCCTTTATTTTAGTTGTGAGTAATCAGTTCCTTTATCTTAGTTGTGAGTAATCAGTTCCTTTATTTTTGTTGTGAATAATCAGTTTTTGTATTCTAGTTGTGAGTAATCAGTTCCCTTATTCTAGTTGTGAGTAATCAGTTACTTTATTCTTGTTGTGAGTAATCATTTTCTTTTTTCTTGTTTTAATTAATCATTTACTATATTCTTTTTGTCAGTTATTAGTTTCTATGTTCTTGTTGTGAGTAATCTGTATTCTAGTTGTAAGTAATCAGTTACTTTTTTCTTGTTGCGAGTAATCAGTTTCTTTATTTTTGTTGTGAGTAATCAATGTCTTTGTTCTAGTTGTGAATAATCAGTTCCTTTATTCTTGTTGTAAGTAATCAGTTTCTATAATCTCGATGTGAGTAATCAGTTATTATATTCTTGTTGTGAGTAATTAATCTGTTATTCTTGTTGTGAGTAATCAGTTCCTTTTTTCTTAATGTGAGTAATAAATTCATATATTCTTGTTGTGAGTAACCTTTATTTTGTTGTAAGTAATCAGTTCCTTTTATTCTTGTTGTGAATAATAAGTTCCTATATTGTTGTTGTGAGTAATCAGTTCCTTTTATTCTTGTTGTGAATAATAAGTTCCTATATTCTTGTTGTGAGTAATCAGTTCCTTTTATTCTTGTTGTGAATAATAAGTTCCTATATTGTTGTTGTGAGTAATCAGTTCCTTTTATTCTTGTTGTGAATAATAAGTTCCTATATTCTTGTTGTGAGTAATCAGTTCCTTTTATTCTTGTTGTGAATAATAA